GGAGATAAAAAGTCAATACGGGACTGAGTGAATTGAGTATACTGTCAAGCTAGTGAACTCCTGGAAGTGTACTCATTCGAGTACTCGATTTCTCATTCGAGCACTCGGATGAGTTAACTCCCACTCTACAAACTGAAGTGTCTACTCAGTATGCGTCTACAGATGCTTACTTGCAAGTACACATCTACAGATGCATACTCAGCTGAGAACACATCCACAGATGCATACTTGGCTGAGTACACACCTACAGATGCATACCTAACTTGTAAGTGCGTACTTGGCAAGTATGCATCTGCAGGTGTGTATTTGCAAGTATGCATCTGTAGACGCGTACTAGGTACACACTTCAGTTTGTAGAGCAGAGGCGTGTACGAAAAAGAGTCCACGGTTCTGGCAGTGTCCTCGTGTGTTCGCGCTGAGGCGAGTGTGCTGACTGAATAGAGTACTCCAAAGAAGCTCTGGCCCGGAAGAAGAAGAAGAACAAAAACGGAAGTAAGAAATTGCAGTATCTATGAGAAATATACGCTGCGCATGAGGGTCCGCAGCGTATATTTCTCATAGGTACTGCAATTTCTTACTTCCGTTTTTGTTCTTCTTCCGGGCCAGAGCTTCTTTGGAGTACTCTATACAGTGTTGAGGTTGCCGAGCAATTTTGTATCGTTAATTGGTCCTCTGCAAGTGTGACGTTGGTGGCGTCGCAGCCGAGTCGAAATTCTTCTTGGCGGTTTTTGACGCGTCCGTTACGCCATCAACGCGCCACAAACGGGGACGCTCCGTGCATCATGTGTCGGTCTTGACAAGATGTTAGGTAGCGCAAAGAATCAAGAGTGCACTAAAAACCTAACTGTCTACTAAGTACACACTTACAGACGCATGGGGCGTTCCACGTCAAACCATCATGGTCCAAAACGTACTTGCTCAGATCCGGCCCCCAATTTTTGGCTGAGCGATAGTGAAGCCTGTTACTCCATTGGGGTTGAAAAGTTTTTCCTGTCTGTCTGTACGTCTGTCTGTCTGTGTGTCCGCACTACTCCTCCTGAACGGCTCGGCCGATCTCGGTGAGATTTTGCACACTTTTTGGGCATGTCCTTGGCTCAGCACACGCGAAATTTCACTATCCTAGCTCAACTGGTTCAGTTTTTATAGCCGAAAAACACCTAAAAAACGGCGAAAAATCGAGTTTTCTGCAGACAGATCACTTCTGCCTTCGAAGAAGGGAGGTCTGGGGGGCTCAGCCCCGACAAGTTGAAAAGTTACAAGGGATCTAGAATGAAGGGGGGTCTGAGGGGGCCCCCCAGCATGCATGAAGTTACAAGTAACCGTCGATGGACAAGCCATTGCTTGCCGAAGGCAGGCTAGCGCCGCAGGCCAACACTCTACCAAAAATGTCCTGTCAATGCCGTTAATTTATTACCAGTTTTCACTGTTGGTCGATTCACAGCGTTTACTGTGATCTGCTCACGCGATTCACTGTGATCTTGTTCACGGTGTTTACTGTGATCTGGTCCACAGTAAACACTGTGAGTTTGACGCCGCTCAGCACCGAAAAGCTGCAAATCAGGCTCCAATTCACGGTGTTTACTGTGGCCAGATCACAGTGAACACTGTAACCGAGATCACAGTGAACGCCGTGAACTAGTTCACAGCTAACGCCGTGAATTGCATAACAGCAAACATTGGTAATAAATTAACGGCGTTGACAGGACATTTTTTGTAGAGTGAAGGTAGGTACGCCAGGCGCGGTTTGGAGGAACAGGCAGCGAGACATCGCGAAGCCTGTTACGACAAGACACGGTCTGGCGTAAACCTACCTTGTTAATCTGGTAGTGTACCACCCAAAGACCACTCTCATAAATTTTTTTTAAAAAAAATTCAGAACTTTGGCCGCAGTAATTTTTTGAAACTTCCAAAAAAAAATATAAATGTTTTTTTCAGTTTTTTTAAAATTGTGTATCTAGGTGCTCAAATGGGTTGAAAACAGTAAAGGGCAACATAAAATAGTGGGAAAAAAAATTGGGACCCCCAGCCCTTACCAAAAACAAAGTTTACGATTAAAAAAAACACGGTTTCTTGAATTCCCAAAATACGCCGTCTCACTTTTGGACCATATTGGCATCAAAGGACCCCAATGGGGTACTCTAACTGTCACTAAAAAATTAGGGACGGCAATCCATAAACACCAGAGATATTGTCAAAAAACTCTTAAAGTTATCGAAGGTTATCGAAGCTTTTCCCCTCAAAATTGTCAAAATGGGACCTATATTGGTTCCGCTGAGGCACTGTGCATTCAAATACTATTCAATTGTCCGTCTTAACACCATGGAAGATGTGAGAGAGGTGAAGGTCAGCATTACAAGAGTTTTGGAATTATACGGCAATAAGTTTTTTTTATTTATAATAACCAAATGCGACAAAATGCATTGTTTGGCAGTCGCCAACTGAAGCTCATTGATTGGTGGGGACTTCATCCGGGCCATCTTCACCTTGACCATGCAACTGCTGGAGACTTAAAGGAAGAAAATGAAGATGACCCGGATGAAGTCCCCAGCAATCAATGAGCTTCAGTTGGCGACTGCCAAATAATGCATTTCGTCGCATTTATTATAATTTAAAAAAACTTATTGCCGTATAATTCCAAAACTCTTGTAATGCTGACCTTCACCTCTCTCACATCTTCCATGGTGTTAAGACAGACAATTGAATAGTATTTCAATGCACAGTGCCTCAGCGGAACCAATATAGGTCCCATTTTGACAATTTTGGGGGAAAAAGCTTCGATAACCTTCGATAACTTTTAGAGTTTTTTGACAATATCTCTGGTGTTTATGGATTGCCGTCCCTAATTTTTTAGTGACAGTTAGAATACCCCATTGGGGTCCTTTGATGCCAATATGGTCCAAAAGTGAGACGGGGTATTTTGGGAATTCAAGAAACCGTGTTTTTTTTTATCGTAAACTTTGTTTCTGGTAAGGGCTGGGGGTCCCAATTTTTTTTCCTACTATTTTATGTTGCCCTTTACTGTTTTCAACCCATTTGAGCACCTAGATACACAATTTTAAAAAAACTGAAAAAAAAATTTATATTTCTTTTTGGAAGTTACAAAAAATTACTGCGGCCAAAGTTCTGAATTTTTTTTTCAAAAAAATTTATGAGAGTGGTCTTTGGGTGGTACACTACCAGATAAAAAATTGGGGGCCGGATCTGAGCAAGTACGTTTTGGACCATGATGGTTTGACGTGGAACGCCCCGCATGCGTCTAAGGTAGGTACACATTTACAAACGCATGCTTGGCCAAGTGCACACTAACAATTGCATGCTTGCAAAGTACGCACTTACAAACGCCTATGCTTAGCGTTTGTAAGTGTGTACTTACCAAGTATGCATTTGTAAGTGTGTACTTGGCCAAGCATGCGTTTGTGTGTCCTTGCAAGCATGCATTTGTGAGTGTGCACTTAGTAGACTGGTAGGTTTGTAGTGTGAACACGACACAGCAATCTTGGTACACGCTCATAACCTGATCACCTATTAGCACATCACACGTCAGGTGACTTTGAACATCAAAAGTTTCTATTTGTCAATTTTCCTCTGAGTTACGACATCGTAGGAAGACTCACGGCTTTCTGCTTTCATAGCGACGGATCGTCCAGTACCACTGCCCCCTCGAAAGCCACCACGGCCTCCGTGGTTCCCCCGAGACGAGAAACTGCGGTGTCCATGGTTGTCGGATGGAGATAGGCCACGGTCTCCCCGGTTTCCATCAGAAGTTCCACCTCGCTTGCCGCTGTTGTTACTCTTATAGTTTCTTCGGTATGGCTGTCCACCTCTGGCAGATTTCTCATGGTGGCCTCCTCTCTGAGAACCCCCTCCTGTTGCATTACTGCCCCTTAAAACCAAAACTAATGCTGCAACGAGGGAATAACTTCGATGACCTCGACCTGTAACATTCGGAGCATTGAAAAGCAGTTGGAGAAGGTCCGGAGCCAACCTTTCTCGTCTGGTTGGCTCCAGTGCGTATTTCACACTCCCCAACACTGTGGCGTGCACCCTTCCACGGAGGCTAGGCCCAACCTGTGCCTCCGGGTGTTAAGGAGGTGGTGCTTGATTGCCTGGGGTGAGGCTTCCTCAGAAAATGCAAGGTACTTCAGGGCTTGCAGCTCCTGAGCAAGCCCCACGTCCGACAAGAGGTCTCCACTCCATCCTTCGACCGCCCCTGAGAAACAAAGAATGTGGTAAACATCCAAGGTACGGCAAAGCTACTTTCATGCAATCGCAAACAAAACTAACCAGATGCCGAGATGCCCTGTATTTTATGAGGCCAAGGTTCGGTGTTGTCCTGGGCCTCCGGTTCTTCACCGAGTCTTTCAGCCTGTCCAGCTTCTCATCACATCTGGTGGCTGAAAGCGGCTGTCCGCGCCTCTGCGCCATCCTCAAGCGCCTCCTCCACTCGTTGAACCTCCCCCTTTTAAGAGGTTCACCCACGTACCCTGCAAAACAAGTGGCATTACCTCTTATAACAAGACAGGGAACGGTCAAGGTTTGGTTCAATTTTAAAATTGAATTAAATATTCTTTTTTCACTTGTGAAGTGAGTAAATTAACATTTTTACAGAAACATTGAAATCAATTGACGTTAAAACCAAAGATGGAAATTTACCAGACACGTGGAAGATTCAATGGTATAGATTTTACAATGTATTACCTCCGCTCTCAGGCTGCTTCTGTCAAGCCCTGGGGTGCTGATCTCTCTGTCCCTCAGCTTCGGGTACTTTGCCAGCAGTTTACTGGCAGCAAACGTCAGCCGTGTGTCAGTCTCATAGCTGTAAGCAAACAAACAGGATTGAAACACACCACGGAGTGTGAATAACAGGTAAAAATGGAAGAGCAAGGGGAAACTTACTAGTTTTTATTGAACTTGATGAGAGGTCGGTACAGGATATTAACAATCCTGCTCCTGGTCTTCATCAACACTCTAGTTTTGTTGCTCCCGAGGTCCCTCATCACCTATCTGGGGAAAGAGGGCAGGGAGAAGTCCTCGATGTTCAGGGGGGCCCTCTGCAGGGCGTCATCAAGGTCCGGCAGTTCTAGAAGGTCTTCAGCCTCTCCTCCATCCTCCTCTCCATCGGCTGGCTGCTGCTCCTGGCCCTGTCCCCTGACACCATCTGAAAGTCAAAATGAAACAAGCAGATGCAAGCGCACAATGGGGAGACACAGTATTTTCCTTATGACAACTCACCACGGACATTCCCCTCGAACCTTGGATGGTCAAGGTTGGGGTCTTCCCCATTACACTGGACGAACACCTCAAACCCCTCTCTCCTGAGAGTGATGTCCAACAGTCCTGCATGCAGTTGGAATGTGTCACGGAAGGCATTGGCCACATTCTCTAGAGAGAGGGGCTCGTGCACGCCCACAATCACATTTTCCATCAAATCTAAGCACGACATCCTGCAGAGGACAAATCTGTGTGCCCTGTTTGTACATCCGCACTGTCATGCACTCGGTCTTGATGAGCGCTCGGAACATGACGTCCACAATTCTGGTCTTTGCCTTCACCAAGACTCGGAGCCTGTCATTTTCAATGTCCCTCGTCACGTCCCTGGGGAAAGAGGGCAGGGTATTAATTATATGACATTTAATTTCATATCACAAATTTAAAACCAAACTCTTATATTTGGTGAAACCACCCTCGGCATCGATGACGGCCTGCAGCCGCCGGGGCATTGACCTAGTTTGTCTCCTGATGATGCGCTCTCCGGCCCTTGACTGGAGGCGGCCCCACACTGCACGGACATGAGCTCGCAACTCTTCCTTCGTCCTCTCATCCGCGGCCTCCCACTCCCCACTCCTCACCATGATCGCCCACACATACTCGATCGGATGGAGGTCCGGCGAACACGGTGGAAAATCCCATGACACGGGCTACCGTATGAATGGACGCATTATCCTGCATGAAGTGGAATGGTTCGTCGGGACCCAACAGAGCGTCCATGTGGGGCTTCAGGCACAGGTTCAGGAGGCCTGGATACTCCCGAGAGCCTTGACGAGGGCTTGTCTCGATAAGGGCAACAGTCGTGCATCCGCGGATGCAGCCCCAAAGCCCGGCTGTCACGTGGCCGCTCGCCGACACCTGCGCACGGTTAATGTGTGGTCTTAGGACAGTTCATCTGCCTTTTCACTTGAGTTGTTATGAACTTTTTTTTTAAAAGCCACACTAGGGGCTTTTTTTTGTTGTTCAGGGTAGGTAGCGATAGCGTAATTCGTAGTGCCATTGGCGGATTGTTGCGCTCAGCTGAGGGAACATTCACAAATTACGTAAGGGCCTCGAGGGGGTGGGGGGGTCGGCCAATCGTTATTAGGGTCTTATGTGGGGGTGTGGGGGGTCTAAAGCAAGCCTTATGTAAGGTTTCTGAAACGCGCTGAAATGAGTTAAAAGTGGGAATTTCTTTTGTTATGCCATGTTTGAATTGATTTTATTCTGGCCAAATGCCCTTTTATTGAGTTTTAGTTATGAACCCATGCTTTTGTCATAAAAGCAGTGTCATCTTAAATCAGAAATCTGATTGATTTCTGCCTCCAAAACCGCTGACTTATCTCGTCTTATGCACAAAACACGTAAAAAACAGAGAAAAACCGTTATGAGGGTTTTATGGGGATTTTTTTTTGGCGAAAACCTTACGTAAATGGGGGGTGGGGGGGTCTTGAAAACCTTACTTGGCCTTACATGGGGGTACAGGGGGGTCAAAAACGCCCCAAATCGCCCTTATGTAATTTGTGAATGTTCCCTGATTGTATTTCGTCCCCCGTCACTTGCATCTTCTGCAGTACAACTTTGCACTCACCGAGAAGCTCCTCAAACGTCAGACTTCCCTTAGATTTATCTTACAACTTACTCAAGTCAAGAGGAGTGCAAACCTCACTGACCCAGGGTTGACAGAAGTCGCTGAAGTGGCTTAAGATGGCAGACAAGGGGCTGCTAGTATGGTCTTCTCCAGCTGTAGGCATGCGCAAAAGGGGCTCCTTTCTTGGTTTCCTGGGAGTGACACACATTAATGTCGGCACCATCCAGTGCAGCATGAGAAGGCTCTTCCTTTTGACTGCCGAAGTAAAGTCAACGTCGCGCACCTCCTCCATTGCTGCACCAGGCATATCAGTGGGTAACCATTCGCAGAGGACATTTGTAGAAGACACACTTGCGTCTGCAGCAGCGCGTATTCAAACTTGTAGGCCATTGGAGCGACATGGGAGCGCCAAGTCCTCCCAGCCATGCATGTGCAGTGAGAACTTACAATTACTCCATTACTCCCCTCGCGGTTGTCCGACTGGCCACGGGTGTTGTTCTCTATTCTGGCCTCCGCGTCCCTGTGAGGCACCTGTTCCTTGAGCTTCTTGGTCTACAGTGCTTCATGAGCAGTGCAAAACTTTCCCTTATTTGAGGGGAGAAGAAACAGTGCAAAGGTCAGCAAATGTAACGTCTATCAAGTCAGTATTTTCTAAGATTCCCATTGCAATGGCGGCTTCTCTGAAGGTGTTGTAATGTACACCAGTAAAATCATTTTTTAACGGGTAGATAATTTATTTACTGCTTCTAAAAGATTACTCATCACTTCAGTCATCTGGCTGTATGCACCCATTAATCTAGTATCTTGTTCAGCTTGTTTTTCAATACGGAGCTTTTCATTTGAGGCTTGCAACAGTGCAGCATCTGCCTGCATTTTCGCAGCCTCCGCCTGCATCTGAGCTGCATCAGCCAGCTTCACATTGGCTTCTGCGAGCAGCTGAAATAAAAAAGATAGGACAGCATATTTGAAAATGAAAAATATTGAAAAGAATGTAACATATAACAAATAATAACATAATGCTACACATTACTGGCTAAAATAACTTTTCTAAATGTAGCAATTTTATGAAGACACTGTAATCCTTGCAAAGTGGATAGAGAACTCCTCTATCTTACACCCGTTACAACAGAAGTTGCTCCCAGTCAATGAAGTCACTTCACGGTAAAAACGGTTCCTGGTTTTCCCAGGAACTCCCTGGAAATCGCCTATACCTTCACCATTGGCTTCCTGGGAAAACCAGGTTCCGTTTTTAGCGTGTTTCTATACGTAAACCTTCGATGACTCAGGGTAAAAGTCACTGCAGCGCTCATATCTTTGACCAATGACATGCCATTGGCCATTCCTCAAAATAAAATTAGTAGCACGTATAATGTTACCATCATCAAGTAGAACTGTCCTGTGTGTTTCATGTTATTGTAGGTCAGAGATTTGTAGGGAAATCCGAACCGCAGGTTGGATTTCCTCTGTGCAGGGCTTTAACTGCGTCTCCAAGGTGATTCTCTTCCTCCATGATAGGGGACTTCTGCCTGTGCACTAGTTCAGTGTGCCGCTTCCATAGTTGACTCAGAGGGAGGGTGAAGGCTCTAATTAATTTCCGGATAAACATTTGCAGATTTTCATACGGAAAAGCAGAAAATTCAGAAAGTTTCCCGTACATTTCACAGTCATCTGGCAAATGGAGTAACCCGTCGCTAGCCGCAAAAGTGGAATCTACTCCCAATAAATGTTTACAGTCAGTTACAAATTTTCTTAACATGACCCTAGCACTAGACAGACGCGTACGATAACGACTTTTCGAAGACATGATTTGACACGCCACATGTAGAAGCAGCATGTGTTCATACATGTCTCGATTTTTCAACCCCTTAAGGACTACTGGAGCTAGGTATAGAATCCATTTGCGACATTCTGTAGCCTTGAAAGAACTGAAAGTTTGAGAGGTTGCAGTTTCCTAGCAAAGTCATTAGGTGTGTAGGCATGGAACAGATGAATCTTTTTTGTTGGCGGCCGCAAGACTTGCAGCAGTCATTTTATTGTTGCCTCGTAGTCACATTATTTTAACGACTTTTGTGACCCTCTTAAATAGGAATTCCCCATGTTTGTACACACGACACATTTTCTTAACTACATTTAACTGAGTTAAATGCATTGGATCTTGTACAAATTGATCTACCATATTAAGATTGTGAACACTTTCCAAAAATATGTCACCATTGTGATACGCTGCCTGCTCCCTACCTCTTAAGTTAGCATCGGTACGGAGACAAGCATCATTGTCATGGTATACTCTAGTGTTACCTACACTGAAGCCAACCACCATGCATGTGACATGCAACGAAAGACGAACTGTAAGCTGTATTTTTAATGAAAGACAGTGCAGGAAAATCGCATATGAATTTTCCCACCTTTATTTTTAGAACAGAACCATCAAATTCAAAGCCATTGACTAAGAGAGAATTTAACTCATCTATACAAACTGCTTCAAGTAATCATCGCACTGCTGGCCACGGTCTATGCTCTTGCCTACATTAGCCGTGTCTTTCACAGAAAAAGATCCAACCCCCTCCCCCCCATTTTCCAAGGTGTCTGTAATTGCTTATGCTTCGCAGTGTGATGTGTTCCTTTTTCTGGCGAAGAGCTGTCGAGAACCAATGAAGGAATAGGAAGTTTGGTTTGAAGTTGATGAATAATTTGTAGTTTGAATTCCTATTGTCACTTCTGAACACATTTTTTGAAACTCAACATCACTCGTAAAATTGCTAATCCTTTTCAAATTTTTATTTCTTCTTTAAATTTTATTTCAAAAACTTTTTTGCAAACACATTGAATTGTTAAAGGGTAGAAGTAAGGAACATTGATCACAAATGAAAGAAAACTTAACAATATAATATCGACAAAAAGTTAGAATTGGACTCATTCTTAACATTAGAGACCACTAAATTATGCGCGTGCATAATCGCATATTTTGTTAAAGTATGAGAAAAAGACAAAAGAAAGACAGTTTAACATGTTTTAAGTAGGTCTACACCGGAAACAAGACCGCATAATGACGAATAATCTAAGCACAAACGCAACATAACGCGTACTTGCATACTATGCGCGTAAAGTCACGTATTCCCGCATAAACTACCTATTAGGCCTCCAAAATCCCGTAAAATACGCCGATTTACAGCTTTTGACGCGCCCCCGATTTAAAAATACGCGCCCTTTGATCCCTGCGCCTTCTCTATACTCGTCACGTCGCGCAGTCCACCGCCCCGCCTCGCCCCCTCCACCCGTCTCGCCCGTTCCAGCATAGTGAGTGAGTTTGCCGACAGACGCAAGTGTTCATATTGTGGTGGTGTTTTGGGGGCACGTGATAATAACATTAAATACTTTTTTATGAGCTAATTCTACTATTTGTCATTCCGCTCCTATTTTCCTCCTTCGCATATTTTTGCATAAAACCACAATTTTACCCGCATAAACCCCGCATAAAACTACATTTTTAGGCGCATAAAGTCCGCATAAATGGGTTAAAATGTGGCGCATAAAATGATGATTCTATATGCATAATTTAGTGGTCTCTACTTAACATGTATCACAACGATAAAATTAAAATCTCG